CTCCGCCCAAAAGACAATGTGCATGTCGAAAATTGACAAGAAAACAACTTCACGGTCGATCCGGCGTTACATATAGGTACTCGCGGAATAAACGGTGGCACCGGTTGGTAGGTATAACATTGTTCTTTATCAGGTATTATGTAGTTAGTAGTTACTATATTATTATAATACTATACTATTCGGACATGCACGTGTTATATCGTTTTACTTGTATTATACGTCATATGCAGAGGACACGTCAGCGTTATTCGGTTACCGCACACGATACACCTTCACGTTATACCATATAATATCGTCTGCATTATCATTGTTTATCCGGGCACATCGCACAGCCGATGACACGGTATTATTGGAAGGAAGACCCAGCGATGTCGGAGCAAACGGCCTGAAGGCGGATACGCGTGGAGACAGGATGTGGAGAAAAAAAATTGCGGTGACCCGGGGTGTCGAGTGCACTATACTGACAGACTGCAGCAGTACAGTATTCCTATATACTTTTAATTCGTCCGCACATAGGTAGGTAGGTTATATACTTATAGTTTGTATACCTGGCACCATCGATTACCTATGTCTATATGAAAAACTAAAAATGATGTATCCATTGTCAGCGGTGAAAATAAATTACAGTTGCCAATTTTCCATATTTTATAAAAAGTCGTTTAAATTTGAAATTAACAATATATTATGAATGTTGAATCTACCTATACCTCTGCAGAGTTCAGACAAGTGACGACATATTTTATTATGAGGAATCTTGTACTACATCATTTTTCAGGTTTTTTACTCAGATATTATCGATATAAAATCGGAAAAATTATAAAGTCGAAAATGAGTGATTAATATAAAACCATAGGTGTTAAAAATAAATTTTTTTTTTTGTTAAAATATACACATTATGGTTATAAATACCTCAAGCTGAGTAAATTGGTCCAGCCAGTCAAATACTGAAATGCATCATCCTGCATATCAGGTATGCTAAGAAATAGCTATGTATCTATACGCTGCAGTATACAGTAGGTATATTATATTTATTATACTTATAGGTATATTATATCTTGTATAGATGATACGTACGTGTGAGGCGCACAAACCGTTTACGGACTTGTCAAAATCGAATAAATTTTATTACTCACGCGTAATACTTTTTGTCGGGTCCTGACGATGAGTTAAACCGTTTATTACGACGGCAGTGCAATACGTTTGAAAGTCCGTTTTCGGCGACTCGAGCCATCGATCTATAGCCAGGAATACAAATCGTCATGCGATCCTTTCGCCGAAGTCCGCCGGAACCGTTTCTTCCGTTATTGTCAAAACGCGCGATAGGAATAATTATTATTATTTGAAACCGCTGCAACACGTTCTGAAACAACAAACACACACTGAGAAATGTTATTTAGTGTTCCAGAAATCACAATCGGCTTTTTAATCCTAATTGCGTTGAACCGCAGCGGAATAAAAACAACGATTATACCTATTGAACTATTATACAACAAAACAATAAATAATTGTAATATATTATATTATTATAATGTCAGTAAACTCAGATCTAAAACTACTTTATATGAATCATGCTTCTGTACTGTGGTGTGTATGTCCTCTGGAGCATTTATATAAATACACCTTGCTCTGGACAGAAAAATGCGAACAAACGGTGTAAAAATCAAAGTAAACTAAATGCTTGTAGTTTGAAATCAGACATCGATCATTCATGCTCGAGCTAACAGTCAGCAGATCTTCTCAGAATCGTTTTTCGAATGCAATACGCCTAATAATTTATCATTGCTTTCAAATACATGGACACCCGCCCCACTGCCCCACTAAACTAAACGCGTGTTATTATACATATTATCACATTCCTACGTACCTATTTGTACTTATTCCTACATCACACGTTACACGCATACCTACTTAAATGCCCGGGCATCTTTATATATTTTCTACAAGTTATTTTAATTAATATTATTTATGTAGGTACTACCTATAGCCTATAGGTTATAAGGTTATTATCGTATTATCGTATTACTGTATGTAGGCACGATATTATATAATTGGCAATCGGTAGTATTTGTAATCATAATAATTTTACGTCGATAATGAGTGTATACAGTAGATACTTAATACCCCTAACAACGGCCCACGGGCTTTGTCTGAACCGCGGACAATTTTTTACTGGCCCGCTATAACTGCAGTCTGCAACGAATAATTCATAAATTAATAGTTCATATTTTATAACATAATTCGATAACTATTATAACTTAAATTAAATATTGACTTCTTTATATTTTTTAGTTTTCATTCAAATATGCAATCAATATTAAACAAAACTATAGGTACCTACCTATAAATATTAACAGGTACATAATTATTATTATTTTAATTATAAAACTTTTTAATCGCAGTTTTTAATTTTTATACGTCTAAAGTAAAAAAGTTTGGACACCCCTGCAGTGAGTATAAGTGTAAGTTGTCTGTCTATTTAATAAGCCGCATTTAGATATCATCGTTACAATTACACCGTTGTCAAAATATAGCTATTGAAGGTGAGTAAAATATCAAATAAACACAAAATTATACGCAACTGGCAATTACGTACCTATTCAATTTATAACATCATAATATATCCGTGGACTATGGCACAGATTTGCAGAATAAGGTTATAATAATGAGAATGTAGATTGTACACTGTACGTTAGAATTTATAATAAAACTATAATATAGTTAGTGTGGTTATTGGTTTTTTGTGTACTTAACCTAACCTTTGATACAGCGCTCCGGTGCATGTCTGTTGTTTTCGTGACAGCTAAACAAGAACTAGGTACAGGGGGGGGGGGGCTCTAGTGAGGGGCATATTGGGCATTTTCCCACGGGTCCCGCCTTTAAAGCTAGAGGCCTTAAGTTGGGACTCCAAAAACTTTATTTTCCCTGGCGCCCCCAGGAAACCTACCGTCACTAACTAGGTACTTCGTATCTATACTGTATACCAGAGGCGGCCAAACGGTCGATTTCAATCGACGCGTGACGGTTCGATCTTGGACGTTTTCAAAGTTGTTCCCCCGAATTAGAACTTATTATTATACACTTAGTTTTAGTAGATACAGTAACTGTGTTACGTACATATTTCGAATTAACCTGTTTGTGAAATGAGATTTGTTTATGTAGTTAAATGACATTTTTAAAATCTGAACAACGAGCTGATGAACTACACTTTCTGATATTCATTTAAAGGAGCGTCTTCGTTTAGTAGTTCGCGACTATTCCCAGATTACCTATAATTAACGGGTCAACAATATGCAATGACACGCTTCTACGCCAACAGTATAATACTATAATGTTGATTTATTTTGAAATTATTTAGAAATTTAATGTGAAACACTAATATTTAGGTAACAATACAATTTTATTTTATTACTAGTTTTAGTAACATCTAGACTAAAAAATCAAACTTTTTTACGTCAATTGATCCCCAAAAGAAAAATATATTCTTAGTAGGCATCTTCATCAAAAAAATACGGAGTATTTGTCACTAAAAACGCGATTGTGGTGACACCGAACGATGCTTGACCTCAGAACACGTTATTGGAAAGCGTGGAACAATTAATAATAATATACATAAAAATATTAAGTAGATACCAATGTTTTTATGTACGTTTACGATCACTCCCCAACATTACACCCAGGATCAGCGCCTGATCAATTATATCACAAAATAAAATTTTCCATTTTAAAATATAAATATAAGATATGAGTCGATAATGATATGTACATTAGGTATGCATAAATATGTGATTCAAAATAAATAATAGTTGATAAAATGTTAGTCATCATCAATTAACATACAATTATCAAAATAATTAGATGACTTGATATTTAAATAAAAACCCGTATGCCAGTTTTATACATTTTATACCAATTGTTAAATTAAATAAATAAATTCATGTATGAAAAAGGTATGGTTTAATAAATTTAAAAATATAAAAATTATGTCATGGAATCTAAGTACAACATTTTAACAAGTCTATAAATAATCAGCTATATAATAAAAATGTAATTACATTTTAAAGACAAATATAAGAAATTATTTAGATACAGAAGTAATTCTATACAATTATTATTAGTGTGTTTAAGATAAACAAACATCTATTTGAAACAACCGGAAATAATATAAGCTTAACACTTATGGTTCTAAATGAAATCAAACTCAAAGTTTAAAAGAATGGACAACAGAGATTAAAAAAATGTTGATTACCTATTAAGAATGTTTATGTTAACTATAATAGGTACATTTAAATTTTAATTACAAACATATTTATGCTCTATATACATTTAGGACATAAATATAAATGCAGCTATCCATTACAGAAATCTTAGTGATTAAAAATGTAATTAGTTGTTAAGTATTTTTTTTAATTACTTTTTTGTAATTAGTTGGAATACAAATAATTTGTTTTTAATTAGAATGGAAACAACAGACAATATGTTTCTGTGAGTAATGTAATTTTTGACAATATGCTTATGTTTATTATTTTTGGCACTACATTTTATAACAAATGTTTAACAAAATTAATAAAATAAATACAATTAACCAAACCAAGTACCCTAAACGTCCATCACCGTCTATATAATATCAAATAATTAATGTATCACAGAATAAACTTAATTTATTTTTCTATTAATTTATTCAGTGGATATAGTAAAAATACAGGGTAGGTTCAGATGGATAATAATTAATAGGTCTTAGGTATGTACTTAATACTTTAAAACATAAAAACATAAATTAGTTTAAAGGTATTGTAGTATTGTATAATTAGCCAATAATAATAATAATAATAATAATAAATAATAAATAAATATAAATCAAACAACAAATACAGATACACAAAGAAGAAAATGATCAATGTATTGATTGGTAACATAGTATTAAAATTATTTGGATGAATAACCAATTACATGATTTAATATCAGCACAGTTTACGATAGATTAAAAATTAACTCAAACAATACTAGCATGATCCCACTTTTATTTTTTCTAACTGGTCTTCCATTTGTTTGATGATTGCCAGCTCCTTAGCTTCTTTTTTGATATTCCTAGCTTCAAACTCGAGTCTACAATAGTAAAACAAAGTTTATCAATGAAAAAAATCATTGCATATATAATATTGGAACCATAACATTAGAGTACATCATTTTAAAACAAACACATTGCTACACATAGTATGAAATATTCTACAATTTTTTTCCCACATTTAAGATATATTGTAAATGTAACATTCTTCATAAAAAAAAATTGTATGAACAATCATAATTAAATAAACAACAAGTATAATAATTATTAATACTCATCAGTTTAACACATTGGAAATTTTTTTAAAATAAAATATTATATTAAAACATTTGTTTTTGAGGCAAAAAACAATCTAAATAAATCATAAAGTATTGTTAAGACATTGTCATGCCCTTATTTTTATGAGGTGATATTAACACTTGTTTTACCAGTGCTAAACAAAAAATTATTTATTTTGTTTAATTTCCAAATGATTTCAAATGTTGATCTTATAATTTTAAATAGCACAAAATAAATATAAAAACTTTTTATACACACTTAAGTTTGTTAATAACAATCAAGATTAATTGTATAGTACAAAAGCTTTAAATAAATAATAATGACATGTTTAAATACTAATCAAACTATAATTTTATTTTTTAATTGATTGTAAGCCCGGCAAATATGGCCATTAGCTGTATGGTGTTTTTTGAACGTTGTATTGTTGGTAGGGAGGGAACACGTGTGTGTTGGGTTTTTGGCAGAATTTTCAATTTGGGCACCCGTAGGTATCTGAAATGCCCGGGTGGGGGATGGCGGCACTTGTTCTCTGGACACCGTGACTTGCCCGAAGAAAAATGCCACCCAGTGGCCGGGAATCGATCCGGCGTCTTAGACTGCTCGGCCACCTCATCCCCCAATTTTATTTAATCAAACATGTATTCTTTATGTATACTCTTTATATAATATATATAATACACACTTCACACAACTTTAATACTAGACTAATATTTGATATTTAAATGTTAATTATAATAGTGATGATAGTTTATGGATTTTATTATTATATTTTGACTATCATTAAATACATTTTAAATAATGTCAAACAATATAGATCCTCTTTTATACAGAAACCATTTTTTTTATCTGAGGTGATTATAATTATTACTCAATTTTGATAAATGATGAATCAATTTAAGTGTAAATATATTATATATTTATATAAACAAAAATGTGTTGGCTATTATAAATTAGTAAATTACTTTATTTTATATGTTAATTCAATGCTATTGGTCGATTGATTTTTTAAAAATATTAATTTTATTTATGTGTGTATAAAATATTTGATCAAGTTTGCTAATTTAGTTTAAATTTGAAAATAAAATTTAAGACTCAATATAGTATAATATGTATTGATTTGTGATTTAAAGAAGAAAATATCAAATCTAAATAATTATATTATCATATTAAGGAGATTCGATATTGTGATTTTCTATCTTTGTATAACACACATGCGACATAGGATTTTAGACATGTTCTTTGCCAAATAGTATTGCTATACTGAAGCGATAAGAATTCTGTAAACAAATTTTAATTAAGTCTACTTGAAATTGACATTCCCACATATATGATTTTTTATTTTAACTTCTCCAAAAATTGAAATATGACAATTTTTTAATTACTCTTTTTTAATTTAACATTTTTAGGGATTTTTGGCGGATAAAATCAAAAATGTAGGTAAGTCAATCTCAAGTAATCTTAACAAAAAAATGTTTTTGGAATTCTTATCGCTTTATAAGATCAATTGGTACGTTTAGCAAAGAACACATCTAAAATCCTATGTCACGGGTGTGTTAGACAAAGACAAAAAATCAAGGCATCAAATCCCCATAATTATAATTAATAATAGAGTTTGATTTTTTCCATGAATATTAAAAGATTGGATAAGTACAAATCTAAAATATTATATTTGTATTGAGTATTTAACTTTCATAAAATATACTTAGTAGTACATCTACTAATGTGATTTATTTTAAATACTTTGATTTATTATAGGTTATATAATACAGTTAGGTATATAAAACTGCTAGAAAATAGTTATTTGCACAATTTGGCATATTGATTTATCACATTTAAAATATATTTGTGACCTCAAAAACTCTAGAAATCTTCGACCCATCACCTACGATATACAAAGAAATGTGTTTTTTTATGCAGTAACATGGTTCAATAACTTTTTACATACATATTTAAATTTAAAAATGCAAAAAACTAGTTATAGATTAAACCTATTTCAGATATTTTTATTATAGTGTTTCCTGTCAGCAATATATTTTTTCTTAATAGCATTAAACATACCATACAGGGGTTTTCTTTTAAAGGTAAACTCTTTAATTACTTTTTTGAATGGCTGTATACTAGTGTACATTTTAAATCAGAATATTTTTCTGAAAATGTCAATATATATTAACTTTAAAATGTGTAATTAATTAGTTATTAGTTATTACTTTATAAGAATTTAAATCTTAAATGAGGGGTAATGAAACAACACATCCCGTGTCACTCCACGCAGCTCATGTAAATCTAACTAATTGACTACTCATTCGAAATTCAATTTTTTTTTATTACCGAAATTCTCAGAGAAATATTCTGCTTCACAATATGAAACTAAATATGTATGCAGCTTTTCAAAAAAGTAATAACTTAAGTGATAAAAATAAAAAATATAATTGTTTTTTAAAGACTTCCAATTTAAAAGTATATAAATATAAATATTTGCAGAAACATCTAAACTTTTTAAATTCAATGAGTGGTTTAGCTTTAAAAAATTCACTTTTAAGTAAAAAACACGCACTAAACATAGGCAATAATTATTATTTAACCCTTGAAATAAAAACTCAATGGTCATCAACTAGACTTGTTTCATATTAATTTGAATCGTTTATACGTTTTTATAATATTTTTAATCAAATCTGCAAACAAATATTTAGACTTAAAAATCAGCAATGAAATTATATTTTTAATAATACGTGTAAATACTCTATAATATGGTTTATATTAGCTGTATCAATTATAATTATCAGAGAAGAAATGTAAATGAACTTTGCATAGTAACAAAATATAAAATCTTGCTAATGAAGTTTCAACTTTGTATATAACTTTCAACAGCTACAAGTTTACAACATACAGAATAAAAAATCCCATCTTTTATTATACCCTACTAGAGACGAGGATTATTAGAACTTTTTGTATAAATGCCACCTCTATACAATGCAACAAAATGATAATTCAGAAGTACTTGTTTATTTGGTACGATGAAAAAAAAATGTTTGTGTTTAATGTAATAATGCAATTTTGTTTTATATCTAAAACTATAAAAATATTGTAGTATTATTTATCATTATTTTTTTTACCTATGAATTATAATACGCTCGACAATCTTTTCTGTTGTCATGTTATTTTCTGAATCAACTATCACAAATTTATTCATCGATTTTGGAAGCGCATATGGGTCTTCACCGTTTATGTCCATTTTAACAGGTGTTGTACCATGACACACAACATCAACATGAAAATGTTTCATTAAATCAGCCGTTACACTGTAAGGCGCTCCAATAACAACTTCAGATACATACTGAAAAATTAATAGTGAAATGATAAAATTTGTATTAATACATTGTTGAGGAGAAATATTACTTTGCAGGCAAGAACACTCAAGACTCGTTCATGTAAATTCATAATTGGGTAATTCAAGCCTTTGTATTGGTTAACCACTGGATCCGTGTGCAACCCAACAATAAGAAAATTACCATGCTGATGGGCTTTTTCTAAAAAATCCAAGTGACCAACGTGAAATATATCGAAAGCACCAGCAACGTATACTACTCTATCAGTGGGCTGAAATGTACAACAGTGGTAAATTAGTATTTCAAGGTACAGACATTTTTTTTTACCTTAGGTTCGATGCCTTCACTGAATTGAATTATTTTATTGGTAGTAGGTAAAAATTGTGAACATCCGGTCCATGGACTTCTAGCAGCCTTGTCTTGACCCATCACTGAGGAATGCTCTTTCTCCACTTCATATTCTTTATCACCCTTGTAAAAATGTTGTCTTGTCATTAACAACATACGGCTAACTACATCTGTAGTTGAAATTCCTTCAGTTCGTTTCACTTCCCTAGAAAAGTATGGCAATTTATAGTATTTATAACTATGATATCACTTATCAAAACAAATATTATTTATTTAGCATACTTATATCTGTTCGCTTTTTTAACAAGATGATAAGTATCAACTCCATCTGCTGTAACTGTTATATCATCTACAAAACACATTCGTAATAATTAAAAAATTATATTTTCAAATTAAAATAAAATGTTTACCTCCATGAACACAAAAGTCACAATTATGTTGATCCAAAGTTTCGAGATTTGTAACGTAAGGAGCACCTTCTACTACTTCATCAACCCATTTTATGGCTCTCACCATTTTGGACCTGAATATAATTTTACCATACATTAATATTTTATTTTGAAAGATAGATAACATAAATGTATTTTGCCTCATAATATAATATAATTGTTATTTTATAGACAAAAATTTTTTTATTTTTCATATTTAAAATATTGGGTATAGGAGGGGACCACCACTTAGCAGTACCTTTTTAGTTTTTAGTGACACTCTTGTAGTAGCAGTTCTAGCGTACAGCAGGGCGAACAACTGGTATACTAAAATGTCTGATGTCCCTTTTTGAAAAATTAAAAAATGTACCTACTGGTAATATTATTAAGTATTTGTGGAGGCGATAAACACAAATATTTTATCAACAAAATATGGGAGGGGAAACTTTATTCGCAGTTAAGACCTAATTATAAATGTATTGTTGGCTAAATTTAGCCCTAGAACTCTGGCGTCTGAAAATAAGTGATGCTAGATCCAACCTAACTAATAATATTCAATAGAAAAAAAATAATAGTTTATTGAAATCCAAACTTATAATTAGTTTCAATGTTTTTATACCAGTCACCAGTGAATAATAAAAATAGAGATTTAATTTTGTTGTAAGCCAAGTATATTCAAGTATATAACTAATTATTTTCATTATAAATAAGAAATTTTTAATATTTGTAGGCTGAGCTAGGTTCAAGCCCAAAAAAATAAATAATTTTGTACATTTCTGAAATAACAATCAGTCACAAATACATTTAATGATAATCATGTATTGAATAATGTATTCAACCCATCAGGTACTCATATTTTAATAAAAATTCTGCACCTTCATACTTCATAGTACTAATTATTTTATGGCATTACACAATTATTTCCAGTGACTCATTGTTTATTCAAAAAATATTAATAAGTTATATCAACAATAGCTACCTATATCATTATAGCAAATCAACAAATTAATTTACTATTAGCTATCAAAATATTAATTTACTCAGTAAATACACTAGATATAAAAAAGATATAAAACTACAATATTGTTTTTAAATAATTGGTTATTGGCATAGGTTAAATTCCAGTAATTATTGAATATCTAAGACTAAAAGTTATTTTAAATAATTAATATATTCTTATGATAGTTAATATGACATAAACTTACATGCATTTCATAAATATATTTGTAATGACATAATGCATTTACATAAAACACAGAAATACATCATAATGTTATTTGGAATTGTTAATAAAAAAAGAATGTGTGGTTATGCCTATCACAAAAGCATGATTATACAATATAGGCAATAGTTTTGCATTTTACATTTTTAATTTGCTTCATGTAAAAATCATGTTTTTAAAAATAGTTTAATCAAACTTAGATAATATTCTCTTGTTTACCACCTATGTTATTACATAAATATTACTAGGTATTTGATTTGTGACCAAAGTTTGTGGTTTATTCTTTTATATACTTAATGTTTTGTCATAGTGTTTCGGGTATGAATTAGTAAAGATAATTTAAATAAAATATAAAAGATCAGTTGGGGCTACTGTATGGCTACTCTATAAATGCTGAATAAATTATTACAAAATATATTAGGTCAGTCGGTTAGTGAGTAATAAGTATATTTATACAAGTTATCCAATAATAATATTAAAAAATAACTACCTAGTAAAAATAATCCCATTAAACATACATAAAAACTCTGTTATTTAGACCAAAACACAGTGTTTAGTTTATACTATTATTATTCAGCACCACCAACTCCTAACCATAAAAAGATAAATATTTTATTAGTATATTAAGAAGATAACAACTCAACAAACAGAAGTAACAAACAGTTGTAGGCAATAAAGTTTTTAAATTAACACCGACCTACTTGGCAATCATTACTTTTAAAAATTCAGCAGTGACATAACGTAATAGACACATGATCGATAAGTGATTAAGCTAGCTACCTCTCTTTTTCTGTGAAAACTGGTGGACCTTTGTGCTTGGTGATTTCGTCATCGGTGTGTATGCCCACGACTAGATAATGTCCCAACGCTTTGGCTTGTCGTAGAGAGTTTGCGTGACCAAAGTGCACCATGTCAAAACTGTGTGACGGACGAAAAACCGAAAACAAAATAATTTATTAACATTAATATCCACGGTTTCTACATAATAGTTAAACGAGACACGAGAAAAGTGTACTCACCACCCGTCGCACCAGACCCTCACGGGCTTGTTTTCCGCTTGTTCACTCATCTTCCGGGGTACGGACGCCCGGAGCTGCGCAATGTCCGGACGTGTAGACGACTGACGAAGACCTGACTCGATGACGGTTAATGGGAGTACGTGAATACCGCGGATCGACTACAACTGAGTGCGACGCTGCGACGCCCGCGTTGACGTGTCTCGGCGTTTAACGTGCGCGTCGGAATGCTAACGAGTAACGACTGAACGACCACTGTCGCAACGGTAATACCGGATTTCAGTACGCAGCGCAGAACGGTATTTCATTCGTTCACCGCTCCACCGTAAGTAACTCGTATGAGCCGCGAGAGAAATCGATGCAAAATACTACGAATACCAATACCGATGCTATCAATGATGTTTCTATTTCATTGCGATTTATACGATTTTGAAACGTTTATCACAGTGTTCGGCCAAAGTCCAAAATGATAATTCGAACGAACGCCGTAATCAGGCCACCGCGACCGCCGCCGCCCGGTACTTTCCTTTATCATCATAGATAAAAGTAAAGATTTTTTTCCCCCTTAATTTGAAATTTTTATTTGAACAATCTGTAGCCTGTAGGTACCTACAACATGCACCATGCACGATACGTACAGGTACAATACGGCTGCATTGGCGGAAATCGGGGTAGAGGGCTTAGCCCTCAAAGGCGTATCTTGTCTTTAAAAGAATTTAATCCATAGTTTAATAACTAAAAAAAACATAACAAAATAATTGTACCTACCAAATATTATTTTACTTTTTGAATAGGTATTGTCCAAAATGCCATAGAAAAGTATACTATGAATAATATATCTATATTTCTTATTTTCTTTGAAGTGGTTTGTGAAAGTCAACCGGACAATTATTATTTGAAAACTATTTATAAAAAACCAACGGAGACCTTGATTCTGCTGTATAGTCGGTAGTCGGTTAGAATCAAAAAATTATCTAGGTGTTTAAATTCAATAAATCATTGTAGCCTGTACTCTGTAGATACCTTACACGAAAAACAATTCTGACAGAAAAAAGCCAAGATTTTATTTTTTTTTTTGGTACAAGAGGAGGACTAAATGATTTTGAATACCTATACATTAGATTCTTATCGTAGCGAAAGATGTATTGATTTTACAATGATGTATTTTTTTTTCTGTGAATTTAGTAGGTACTTTGGGATGAGGGGGAGGTCAAACGTAAAAGTTCCTAGTCGTTTTCAAAAGCATCGGTGAAAATAAAAAAATGAAAGATATGTGGGAAATTTTACGCAAAAACAATTAAACTTTTTAGGTGTAACTCAAAAAAAGTCATAACAGTAAATAGGTATTTCAAATTTTCACCAAATGTCAATAATAATTTAACCATTTTAAATACATGAGATAATTTTCAAAATATGGTGACTCTTTTACATAAATGAGAATTTTTTTTCAATTGTTGTCGAAAGAACTGAAAATATATTACAATGTTCCACTTTCACATAAGTTGTAGGTAATTAAACAAAAAAGTTGAGCGTTTATCATCCACAATAATTTTTTATCATTGCGTGTGAAGCTAGAATATATTATACCCTGAAATAGACAAGGGTTGACTGTGCTACTAAGCAATTGCATAGCAGTGCGGGTCGATGTCATGTTATGTCCAGGGCTGGTACAGAACAATTCACCTGGTATTTATTATTATTTTTGACAATTTGTTAGAATGTGATTACCTATCTATTTTATACTTAATATTTTAGTACATCTTGGTAGTGGACTAATATGAACCACTCCAGGGACCAGTGCCGCAACTACACAATATGGGGCTGATGTGCAAATCTTAATTTGGGGCTTAAATATATAAAATGTAAATAAATTATTATATTAAGCTAGGTATGTAAACAAAAAAACAAAAAAATTTAATTGTATAATTTATTGTTATAAACATAGTATTAGGTATACTATAATTTCAACGCATTTGTAAATTATTTAGGTATCAAAACTGTTTTTTCTTCACTTTTGCGTTTGAAAAGTTGTCAATGACTTTCTTTATATCTATCTAGAAAGTTCTTCTCTTTTCTATGTTCAGTATGGAAATGCCATTGAGACGTTCTTGTCTTATAGAATTGCGCAAAAAATATTTGATTAATCTGAGTTTAATTTGATTACAATAACTTATAAATATTCAAGGCTGGGCAAGTTAATGATTTTTTTTAACACAATTTAGTTAAGTTAATATGCGACAATGACAAAAAGTTAAAAGTTAAAAGTTATTTTAACTATAGGTTACCTCAGTTAGGCTAAAAGTTAATACACACTTTTTGTTAACTTTTTAATTTTTATTAAGTTTTATTTATTATTTTTTTATACAACGCTAGCGTACTTAATTTTTTAATTTTTTCCAACCCAAAACTAAATTATATACTAGGTATAGTATTCTTACTTTATACAGTATTTCCATATAAATTAGACTCGAATAATGATATAAATTTTCAACTTATTTACAATTTACGGTAAAAATGTTTTGACATGATAACGAAATAGACTGAAATAGTAAAATATAATAAAATTAAAAACAAAATAAATTAACTTAACTTACTTCTTAAAATTAATAGAGGATAAAAAAATAAAAGTTTTAAATTAAATATTTAGATATTATTTATGCAGGTTGGTACTATTTATTATTATGTACCTACCTACTTAGTATTAATTTTTTTTAAATAATCTATAAATACTAAATAAAAGTATTTTTGTTTTAGGCAGTCAACCTATTACCACTGATCAGTGATTAAGATATATTTAATTCGTTTCAATACAAGGACTTAGGACCGGTTGAGTAAATGTTTTATTACTCACACTAGGTCAACGTTTTCGGAAAAAAACAAAACTATTAGGCTTTTGTAAAACAAGTTAAACAAACATCAATTTATTGAAAATACTTAAACAATTTACAATTTATTTTTATTAAATTGTGTAGGTTTTTTTTCAATTGTGTCTATAAATAGTATTCAGTATTTGACAATTGCTCATTAAAATCCAATGTATTTTGTATTTTAACTAAATATTTTGAAGACAATTTTTGAAAGTATTTCAATAATTCCTGACTTTTTTGTTATTGTTTATGATTTATGTTGTACAATGCACGAGCGTGTATAAAAACATCTATCCATATTGACCATATTTCTTGAAAACAATTTCACATACCTACTCGCTTCACGTTTATTGAGTCTGTACAAGCTATATAATATTATTAACAGTGAGTCGGTGTACATAGCCATATTAGTTATTTTAGTTATAAGTGATGAATAAAAAAAAATAATAATTATATCATGAATATTATACTATACATTTTTTTTTATTAATCTAAAACATAAATAACATAATAACTATAATCTAAACATTTTTTTCTACCGGACGATTCGGGCCAACCGTAGAGTAGAAACGCTGGTTTTGGATATCAGGGAATGTCCGACTTACAGACATACTGCACTGGGACGACGAGAGGACATTTTTTCGGCGGACTGTTGGACCAGGACACCTGGCGGCCACCGAGCCACCCGTTTGGGGTTCTCGTTGGGCCGCGACGACGGCGCGAGGTGTACTACAACAAGCGGCCGACCCAAGCCGGCAGTTCTCTCGAGAGGAGAATGCTCTAGTGCTCGACGGCGATTTCTATGGCTTGCAGCGGCGGGTAGCAGCCTGCACGGGATCGGGAAGCGGCAAGTGGAGGACGACTCTGGAAATCAGCCTTTGCCGGAGGACCACCACCACGGAAATGCTACCCGCGTCCGCGAAACTGGCTGAGTGTTCGTTCTGTGATCAATCAGGCGGCCGGCCGGGCGGTTCGGACTAGATAGCTTCCGGCTGCAGATCGAGGTGCGGCCCGTGCGTGCCGGACCCGAAGACAGTGACATGAGGAGGAGGAGGAACTTTCGGAGGTGACGGTGAAACTCGAGGTGAAACTGATAAAAGGGTAAGATGGTTTGATGGCGATGGCAAGTATGCTGAAATTGTAATTTTACGAAAATTATTAACAATTTTGAAGATTTTTCGACATACTGTTATTTGGTACCTATACTATATATAATAAATAAGTATATAATAAACACGCTTAGTTCATATTATATACAATATACGGTATGCTTATAACTTACGTTATAATATAATATGTTTGTTTGGTAATTGGCAGTATAGTTGGTATTTGATTTGGATTTTGGATACGGGTTAGGTTGATGTATAATGGCTGGCTTTTGAGATGTATACATTTTCAAGCTTTTCTTGGAACTGCCACGTTTCTTCTTACCCCGTTCAGTTTCACCGTCACTCCGTTTGTTCCTCCTCAACTTCGACTCTGTTGTTACCATCTCCCGGTCCCAACACCTGCAACTCTGGCACGCGCATCTCGACAACTGCAGCAGGCTTTCTAGTCCCGTTGCTCGAGAGCCGCTTGCTCTCCCCGACCACAGCAGAACGAACACGGTCCTCGCTCACGGGCGCGCCGGTTTCCCGGACGCGGGCAGCATTTCCATGACATTATGCCTTCGGTGGTCCTCCGGCGGCGGCTGATCTTCAAATTCGCCCTCTCTGATCCCGATCCTCTTCTGCGGCTGCTCTAAGTGCCGCCGCTGCACGCCATATTTTTTTTATCCATCTCCACCGTCAAGCACCCATCCTCCTCTTCTGCCGCCGGCCATTCGGCCACATATTACGTTGTAGTACACCATTACCTTAAGCCATCGTCGAGGCCCAACGAGAACGTGGCCCGGTCACCGCATAGAAGGCCGACCGCGTTTCTTCGGGATCGGCCTCGTGGTGTCTAGGTCCAACAGCCCGACGGTAGTCCTCTCTTTGTCCTCAGTGCAGTGTGTCTCGTTATATATGGGCGCCATTCCAGTCAGGCGCCACTCCAGTTCCTGGACATTCCCCGATGATTCAATCTAACTCAACCAGCGTTTCTCTATAAGTACGTCCGGCATAGCTTTGTGAATAATTAATTTTAAAAACTTAAATATAAATAAACAAATCTTGTTACTATGGTTCAAGATATTATTATTATTT